GACAGGACACACAGTGGTGACTGTCACACCAGCTGCTCCTGCACATGTCCTTTGGCACTTGCTGGGGAACAACCTGCCTGCTCAGGAACACAAGGTCAGGCTCTGATACCTCGTAGTCCTCACATTTAAAAAGTGACATCTTGTGTTTTACTTCTTGTGTCCATGTGCTTTCTTGCCTTGTCTCCAGGTGCCTCAGCTGCCAGCCCAGTGTCCTCTGTCCCAGCTCTCCTGCAGGATGGGATGGCTTCTGCTAAAATGCTTTTCTGTGTTGTCTTCATTGTGTCCAGGTCCTCATTGCAGAATGAGTGACAAGTTCATCATCATACAAAACTTTCCTTATTAAAGAGAAAGTTGGAGTCAAAACTCCCTGTTTTATCTTTGGTGCCTTGAGTTCTGGTTTTTATTAAACCTTGGGAACTTATAAAACATGTGTGTGTGTGTATGTGTGGGCATGTATATATAGATATATATACACACATCTGTTGTGTTTATCTTCAAAATATGCATTTTTATGGCATTTGTATGGAAGGAGATCTTAGTCCCATCTTTTTTTTTCCCATAAACTTTTCTAGTTTAATTTCCTGTGGATTTTAGTACTACCTTTAGCTTACATTTCCTTAAACACAGAATTAAATATTAGGAGTTTTACACACTGTCACTCTGTTTTCCGACAAAACCAGGAGTTATAAGCAGAGTTTTTAGAGGCTTGCTCTGGCTGGCTGTGCACTGGAAACGCAAGTGAAGCCAAAGCCACATTACAGTGCATGCCCTGAGGCAAACAGACCCTTGCTCTGCCCTGCTGCAGCTGTATATTTAGCCTATATGCCCTTTCCAATAACAGCCAGGAGAAGATGCCTGGGGAGGAATGCGAGTCATCATTTCCCTGAAAGCCATCCGGGATCAAGTGCTGCTTGAGCCAGAAACCCTGCCTTGGTAACTCTGCCTTCTATAAAATTGTCTGCCCCACCTCCCCCCCACCCCCCCCCCCTTTTTTTTTTTAAACCCAGGTGAAGTTTCAGCATTCCTGTTCATGACCCCACTGGCTCCTTAAGAAAACCCATTTTGTTTGAGTTAGTTTGGCTTCTGGTTCTTTTATTAGAGGAGAGCGTGGGCTCGTTTCCTATCTGCCAAGTGCCCCAGTGCATCCCACTTTGTTCTCTTCCAGCTTTCTTCAGGAAAGATCCATTTTATACCTTTGATTCCCATCACTTTTCTCTGATAGCTTTTCCTTGAGATGGGCCTGGCTAACAGGATGCAAGAGGTATGGGGTGGCATTGTTGAAGCTGTCCCTCTGCTTTGACTTCTTGGTAGATGTTTATGTCTTAATTTTTCCTGCTGCTGGCAGGAAACAAATGGCAGTTCTACCTGGCTGCAGTATTTGTAATTACAGGGGAAAAAAAGATCTCTGAGGCCTTCTAAATACTTGGGAAGATAATATCTGGGTTTCCTTTCAACTGAATGCTCTTGAAGATATGATCTGAGTTGGCTGTCTGGGAATAACAAAGTGGAGGAAGGGATTGAGTGTGGTTGCTGAAACTTTCATCAAAGAGTCAGGAGCGTTGCCTAGCCAAAATCTGCAGCTGCCGGTCACTGCCACGGGTCAGGCATGGCGGATGCTCGAGATGTGGCTGGAGCACGGGGCAAGTAGCCCAGAGAGCCTGCAGGAGGCCAGTCCAGCAGGGTGGAGGAGCAGGGGCACATCCAGATGGTCTTCCAGCAAGTCTGTCACGTCAGCATGGAAGTGCATAGTCGAGGGATACTTAAGGGTACCATACTCATCCCTCCTGCTTCCCTCTCCAGGGCTGCAGGAGGCTGGGGAAAGTGCTGCCTCCAGAACAAGTCTTGTCACAGCATCTTGCAGAGGAAATGTGCTCTGCAGGGAAGAAAAAACATGCTCCAGCTGCCAAAAGGGATCTGGTGTCCTTTGTGCTGCTGCTGTTCTGCAATTCCCCTTGCATGTACCTCAGCAGAAGTGCCCTGGCTGGGGCTTTTTGGGACTGCTAGGCTGCTTCCTCCCCTGCACAGCACTTGCTGAAATGCTTACTGCACCATATCCTTGCTGGAGCTTACCTCTTCCAGGAAAAGAAGTTTTTCTGGGAATGGAGTCCCCAGTTGGGGAGGGCAGTGTAGTAGCCCAGCTTCTGGACAAACAGGTGCAATACAGGGGCAAAAAGGAAAACTAGGCTCCTTGCATTTTTTATCACTCTCACAGAGTGGTAATGAAGGTAGCAGAAAGCTTCCTCTCAGCTACAGGAAAGTTAAATATCTCAGTGCTTGCTGTAGCAGAATAAAACCTGCTGCAAGGTGTCGAGGGCGGTGACCACTTCCCGCACAAGTGTCACGAAACTGCCTGTGGCCTCTGAGACTTGAAAGCAACAAGTTGGCGACAGTTTGCAGGCGAGTTCCCCATCAGCAGGAGGGTGCTGCTTATTTCCCTGCCAAGCACACATTTTTAGCACTGCTGTTTCGGGTTTGAGTTTGTTTTTTTCCTCTAGATTGTTTTTCAGCATCAGAGTTTCCTGTTACTGACACCAGATGTGCTGGAGACAAGCAGTGCAGAAATACAAGAAGGGACAAGGATGAAAAAAGCAGCTCTTTTTGTGCTTATGTCCTTTGGGCTGGGTGTCACTTCTGGGCACCTTTACCACATTTAATGTGGTGACAATACACAGTGGGCACACCATGTTGAAATGAAGTTTTAGGGTCAAGAATTGAGTACAGCTTGGTTGGTACCTCCTGAGCTGAAGGTGTCTGGGGTGACCAGCTATTGATGGCTCTGGGGGGAAGAGGGTGGAAGGGGCTCCAGGGACCTCAGGAGCGCCGATTTGGGGCTCCTCACGCAGGCAGGTCTCTCAGGGTCAGATCTCTGACCATGAGCTGCTGCTGCTGCTTTGGTTTTGGTGCACACGTGGCTTTGAGCAGGCAGCTGTGAGTGCAGCATTGAGCCAGAAACTGTGTGAGCTTGTTCTCCAGTCTCCGTGTAAGGCCACCATCTCCAGAGACACCTGGTTAGTGTTGTGCAGGACAGGATGCTGTCACTCTGAGCAATGTGAAGTGGGGAGCTACATCTGGTGGTGACTCTTCCGTGCTCTGCCTGGCCTGTTCCTTCATGGCAAATGCCTGCCCTGAGTCTGTGTGTGACCAGTGTGTCTCTGTGTGGTTGTTCTGCTGTACATCCCTGTCTATAACTCATCCCACGTGCATCAGCGTCTGGAGCTTGGGTCGTCTGTGAATGTACATGGCAGAAGCCGTTGAGGTTGGAAATAACCCCCGGAGGCGTTTGCTGCACTTCCCATAGCCTTTAACACAGTCTGTTGGAAGGGCTGCTGCCTTTGTTTCGGGGTATGTCCGGAGCAGGGCAGGCACAGAAACTCTGACTGTTTCCTAAATTTCACGCTCCAGTACATGCTACACGTCAGGCTTGCAGGCTAGCGTGCTCTTGGGCTCGAAGAGACTGTTAGTTCATAACTTGGAGAGTTCATAACGTGGTGATGGGCTGCTCTGCCCAGACACGCTGCCCCCGAGCTGTTTGTCCCTCGTGCCGCCCTTCCCGGGCTCCTTCAGCGCAGCCGTGCACGGAGCAGCAGCCGCCTCTGCCCAGGCCGTGCCGCCTGCCTGGCACCGGGGGTGCCAGCTGTCGTGTTTTGGAGCAGGGAGCAGGTCCGGCAGAGTGCCATCTTTGTGTGCCTGACCGGGGACGCTGCATTTCATCATTCCTGCTGCTCGCTGCCTTGACTCGCAGGCGCACGAGAGCTGACGGGACTTGCCCGGAGATCCTCCTGTGGAAACACGCACGGGAGATCTTTGCACAGACAATAGCTCTGCTCTGCAAAGTTGCATCAACTCTTTTTATCCGAGTTTGCTTCCTTAGAGAAAGGCCACTTGTTTAATGTTTTCTTTAATGAGGATATTGGTAAATAAGCAATCAGGTAAGTGGGATTCCTATTAACTCCTAAATACCTTCTTAAGCAGAGTCAAGAATTGCACAGCAGTTACTTGAGCTTTCTGCACGCTCGGCTCAGTGGCATTAATATGCTGGTGGTGATTAATTACCGCAGCCCAGTGATGTGATTGTGTGCTTGAGCAATTGGATTAGATGCAGCTGGACAGAGACTTCACTTTCACTGGTTCTTGCTGAAGTGGTGTTGTTATCAGCCACAGAGGAAGAGTCATTTCTAGGACAGCCATCCTCCTCTGTCTGGGATGCTTCCCCTGGCCCCACACTCCTGGGTCGGTGATGGGCAGAGGAATGGTCTCTGGGAAAATGCGTTGCTGGGAGTAGCTACTTTGTCCTGCTCTCAGTCCCTCCTTTCAGTCCCATCTTCTGCCTGCACCGTTCAGCATTCCTGGATAAAGAAGGTACAGCATGTCCTTACTGTGTCAGTGGGTCTCATAGCTGCATGCAGAAGGAGCAAATTCCAGCATTGCCTTGACAAGTCAGCATCATATCAAATGCAGTATCATAACTTCACCGAGCAGGCCCAGTTCCGTGGCTCTGCGAGGGGGTTTGGCACTGGAGATCAGGAATCAACCTTGGCACATGCAGCAAGCGCTAGGACTGAAACAGATGTTGATACTGACTTTGATGTTTCATCCAACACTCTGAAGGCTTGAACTTGAGACCAAAAGAGCTCTCACAGAAGCAGGAGAATAAAGAGAAAGTCGGTTCTTTCAGAAGATCAGACAGAATGAAACATCCTGAAATTCAGGACTAACCTGAACCTTTGTGTTTGTTCTGTGAAACTGGGCAGTGCAGATCCTGCTGGAAGGAGGAGCACAGTGCCACGTAGAGAATCTGGGGTGGTCTAGCCTTCCCTCATAACTGGGAAACGCTGCCTAAGTCAGTCAGCTCTATGGCCTGATGCTTCCCAGAGATCAGCAGAAAACCGCCTGCACAATTCCATCTGTGTTTGAGTTTTGGCCCTGTTTTGAATTTGTGGGAAACTGTGTGAAACATTGAGGGTTTTGCTCCTGGAGAGCTCCAGTTCTGTGCCACTCACCGGTCATGGGCAATGACCCAGAACACTGACTTTTTCCAAATACAGCTGGGACGATTTCTCAGTTGAGTCAGGGTTGTGCCCATGGTGGTACCATGTGAGGTGGTGTGGGCTCCCAAACCAGAGGCACCAGGCAGGTCCCAGTGCCTGTTCCAGCCTTGCTGCAGGTAAGGTTCAGTCTTGTGCAGCTGCATCCAGCCCCACAGTGCCGGTTGTCTGTAGACTTGCAGAGCAGCACTACTGCCTTTAGTCAGGGGATCTCCTATCCCAAAAAGTATTCCACCTTGCGTTGATAGTCCATGTGGACCTCAGCACTGCAGTGCAATGCTTTGTACAGCTCTACTCATAGCTGGAACCACCCTGTTTTTCCTCCTTCACACACTGTGAGAGGCTGGCAGTGTTTCAGCTTCTGTCCATTGTGTGCTGAGGTGGAGCTGTGTTAAGAGTTTTTTTTTTCTGGTGGCGCAAGTTTGTTCTCAGCTCTTCTGTTTGTTCTTTGTTATCAGCTACTGAATTCCTCCTATACCTGCTGTGTACTCCACTCCTATATGCTGAGCCTGTTCTTCTGTAGTTTTCCTAAAATGAAACTCTGAATTTGCAATCTGCAAGTGTCACATGAACACATAATGGCCGGTTGCTGGGCTGAGGGGCACATATTGGGCAGTGTTTGTTGACTGCTTTGATAAGTGTTTCTGAAATAGGTGATGATTTCATCTTCATCTCCTGCTCACCACAGATACCAAGAACCAGCTCCTTTCTGCCCATATGCTGCTCTCCATCCAACAAAACGCCCCAGGCTGGATCACATCATTTGGCTGAGCAACACAGAGCTGTTCCACACTCATGCACGAGCTCCACTGCGGTGTGACAGGGCAGGGACTGGCCTGAAGCACCTCTCCAGGTGTTTTTACAGCCTTGTACAATGGTACACTGTGTGTCTGGCTGTCTGGGGTGTCTGTCTTCTGCTCAGGTGTGGATACTCAGTACAGCAGTGAAAGGCAGTCATGTTTCCTTGATAGCATGTTAGCCCCACAGCAGCCATGGGGCTGCTGCCACATTCCTCCCCCAGCTACAAGTCTGTGATCCTGCCCATGCTTGCCATATGCATCAGGACTTTCCAATGAGCAGGTTTCAGAAGTAGCTCATGGACAAAGTGTCATCACTGCAGTGGCCATGCTCCAGGCTCCATGAAGGGTGAAGGTAGATCTTTCAGCTTTTTAAGGCACAGTGCAAGAGCAAAGAGTCCCCTGATTTCCCACTGTGATGAGCAGTGTCTTCCTCTTGCAGGTGTCTGCATTATTTCTGTAGCTCATTCACATGGCCTGTTGAATGTTCCCCACCAGACATCTACTGTGCTACTCATTTACCTGCTGTGATGACTCTGCGCTCATCTGAAATCAATTGCAGAGTGTCAGATCTTCCTCTGACCACACAGGGAGCTGGTAGGAGAGATGTGCCCTATAGGGATTGTGACTTGTCCTTAACCAGCAGGCACTTCTTGGAGAAGCAGCTCAGGCACCTCTCTCTGGGTGAAGACCATCCTGTGCTGGTGGTTTGTCACCCAGAGGGTAGTGGGGCACTGAATGAGCTCCCCAAGGAATGGTCACAGCCCCAAGGCTGACAGAGCTCAAGAAGCATTTGGGCAAGGCTCTCAGGCCTGGTGGGATTCTTGGGGTATCTTGTGCAGCACCAGAAGTTGGACTTGATGAGTTCCTTCCAACTCAGCAGATTTTATGGGTCTGTGTTCCTTTGCCTTTGGGAAGAGCCTGGCTTTGCCTGCCTTCTTGTTTCATCTGGTATATTCCCCTCCCAGTCAGCTCAGACAGTTAGAAGCACAAGAGCAGCAGGGAGCAGGTTTTTTTGTGGCACTGACCTTCTTACCAGGCATCCTCCCATCTGCCTTGTGGTTCCCTGCAATGTTATCCTGTCTCTTCTGCCTTTCACTTGAGACAGGTTCTCCACAGAACAGTGGTCAGGTCAGATATTTGCCTCATGGATTCTGTAGCCAGAGGTTATTAAATTCAGCTCCTAATTCCTACTACCCACAGCCCTCTGTGCTGGCTGCAGCTGTGCCCTGGGCCTATTACCTTGGGGTGGGAGGTGTCAGCCCTTCTCTGTGTGGGGTTTATTGTGAAAGGCCCATCAAGGGCTGCAGATATGCAGGTCCTTACATGCTGCCTCTCAGCTTCTCTAGAGTTCAGGCTTTAGGGTGAGCAACCAAACCTTATGTCTCCTGTTATGCCTAGAGCCTGCTGTGGTAGCCTTGGGCTTGGGTGCCTGCATGGGCAGACCCTCTGCCTGCTTCTACAAGGCTCTGGTGGGCAATGCACCCTGCCTGGCCACAGCACAGCAGGCAGCTGAGCCCTGTGGTGCTGCTCCAGGAGCTCTGCAAGGGCAAGAAGCAGTGGGATTTCCCTTCCCACACCCTGGACTGGCTCCAGGGTCTCTTGGGACAGTCTGATGTGCATCATATGGTGCAGACAGGACAGGCTAAAATAAATCAGACTGGGGGCCAGTGGTTAGAAGCTGTGCTGGTTTGCTCTGGGAATTTGGAGAGACGTCTCTCTCAGCCTGGGAAAAAGGAGTTGGTTCAAGGAGCCCAGTCTTGTGTGCTCCTGGCATTGAACAACATCTGCTTGGTCTGTGTGTGTCTGTCCTGCCATCCTGTGTAACCCCACCATTCCACTCATTACTGCCGATTAGTTACCAGTAGCTGTGCTGGGATACCAGAGTGGGCAGTATGACTTCCCTGGGCTCCCAAATGGCTCTGTCCTATTCCACGAATCCATTGGTCTCCTACAGGCAGTGAAGAGTAACATGGTGGTGCAGATCTGTAACTCTTCCATGGCTGAATGCAGTCTGGAGGGAGAAGTAGCTAGGGAAGCAAAGGAAACGATGACCAAAGGAACAAAGGAGAGAAAGGAGATCCAGGGAAGCAGGGAGGTAGGAGTGATGGGAAGTGAAAGAACAAAACGAGAGTGAGAGAGAGCTGGAGATGTGTCTTGGCAGAGTATGGGGACGGGTGAGCTGTGCAAGCAGGAGAGAGCTGGATGGCAGCATAAAACACTGTGTGTGCACAGCTCACTCCAGTCTGATTTGGGCTGCATGTTGCAGGCCCTCAGATCAACTCTGAACACGCTAATACAAAAAGCTGGACTTGAGAGGAGACCTGGCTTGAAAACCAGGCTTATGGGTCAGGGGAGCAGAAGCATCTGTCATGTGCCAAGCTATTTGGATGGCAGCTTTGGACTTCCAAAGGTTTCTTGGTATCTTTCCTACTGGGTAACTGGCATTTAAATCCACTGATACTACAGCCTGGCTTCAGCTCACCTTGAAAGGTCAACTATTAGTGTTGTGCTCAGTCTCAGCTTTGGTTGTATCTCCCCTGTCTGTGGCTATCTCGGGATGCTGTGTCTCCAGAGCAGCAGAAACATGGCTGTGTGCATGGAAAAGCAGGAGGATCTTGTTCCTTTGGAGATGCTGTAGGTCAGAAGAGGAGCTGAGAAGCTCTCGTGCTTTCTAATGGTTGTGGTAACTTGCAGTTAAATCAAAAGCTGAGGCACAGAGAGTAACATGGCCAGTAGCCCTCTGCCTGTTGCAAGGTCACTGTGAGGTAACTGGCTGGCTTGGGTACCTTAATTAATGTGCTGATTGGGTTTCCTATGTCTAACCAGGTTCCCAGGACTCCTAGGATGAGGCTGCTGTGAAGGACTGGTGGATCCCCTGCCTGTGCTGTGGTGCCTGCAGATTCCCTGCGATCCCCTTTCCAGCTGGAGCACCATTGCCAAGGCTGCTGGGAAGAATGACTGTTGGATGCCTACTGCAACCCCCTGTCCTGGGGAGGACTTGGCTCCCCGTGCTGCTGCTGGCAGCCTCTGCTCACTGCCACTGGCCCAGTGAGGCAGCAGAAGTGGTTCGGGACTGGGAGAACCAGCTGGAGGCCTCCATGCACTCGGTGCTGTCGGAGCTGCGGGAGACTGTGCCAGCTGTGGTGGGCATTCCCGACAGCTCTGCCGTGGTGGGACGCTACTTCAGAGTCTCCATCCCCACAGATTTAATTGCTTCCAATGGAGAAGTTGTCCAGGTGAGAAACACCATTCCCCAAGGATCATTTTTAGTTCTATTCACGCAGGATCAAGCGAGTCACGCCACTAATGGGCTGGGTCGTGAGAGTGGCTGGGAAGCAGCCTTACAGTTTTGTAGGACTACAGGAGAAGGATTTTTATAAAAAGTTAGCCTCACCTCATTGCAAAGTTTCTCTCTTCTGTAACAGAGAAGACTTCTCAGTCATGACTAATTGAGTTTGTTGGCTGTATTTAAACTATGAGATGCTCTGCCCCTGGAACGATGGCCACATTCATGAAGAGGTGTTGCCATGGCATCTGGGGAGCCACGGATTCCCTGGGACTGCTGCTCAGGTTCAGGGAGTTTGCTTCACTGTGGTAACAAAAAACATTGCCAGACACAGACCCTGTCCTGCCAGTGGGGCTTTGGACTGCCTGTGACACTGTCTCTCCTGACCTTGCCCCTAAGTCCCCTTGGGAAAGATGGTAGCCTTTCCCCTTATCTGACTTAAACTCGTGCTGCTGGCACTGCAAAGACCCGAAACTGAGGTTTGGAATCAGTCCTGAGTGCAGGAGAGGGTTAGAATAGCCCAGAGGAAGGTAGGGACATGTCCAATCACAGGTGTGCTCATTGTTAGCCCTTTCCTGGAAGGGTTTGCTTGAATCACATGAAATTCAGAAAATTCTCTTCTTGAAAAACAGAACTGCCTTCCAGGATTTCTTTTCAAAGAGAAATGTAAAGCATTATAAAAAGACAAGCTTCTAGTGTGTCTTGGAAGATCAGAGAGAGATGGAGAGCAAGTCAAGAGCAAGTCTGACATCTCGGTTTCTCCTTGAAGGCAGGCTTGGTTTATCTCTGTGTACAGTCACACAGTTATCCCAATCCTGATATGTGATCCTGCTGGCTCCAGCAAGGGTGCTGGACCACAATGTGCCAGGACGGGCAAAAAATCTGAAGAATGCAGCTGTTATGGACAGAGGGTCAGACAGGGGAGGAGGGCAGTGGGTGAGCCCTGGCCAGAGGAGTGAGGGAAGGGGCCAGGCTGGTCTCAGTGACTCTGAGCTGACCCATGGCCGAGATGCCTGCCCAGCCTTACCCACAGCCTGTGCTCAGAGCCCTGGGCTGCCAGGGCCTGTGGTGAGCCCCAGATCTCATGTTACAAAAATGATAACTTTGGTTTGGGATTTTGCATCCAAGTGGCTTTTTCTGGTGTTGTCTAATAGCTGCTTTGATGGCAAGAATAAGTGTCAGTATTTATATAACACCACAGCTTCCTCTGTCATCTTTTCCTGGCACAAAAGTCATCTGTGATAGCTCAAGTAGCTGCAGGAAGATACTGATTAATTATTTCCACCCCACCTGATGGCTTCAAATTATATCTCTGCCATGTAGGTGTGAGGTGTGTTGACCGACACCAGCACACCCAGAGAGTCTGGAATGGGCTGGGCTGCAGCAGGACTCAGCAGCTGCTGGATGTGTGTAGTTCAGCAAACTCTGGGAGCGATTTTCATGCTTATCCCTGGGTTTACCCAAGTGCATGTTGCATCTGTTCACCTTGAAATTGATTTTAGAAGTGCAGCAGGCTCTCACTTAGCTGCTGTCTCTGTAAGGGCTCTCCTTGCAGAGAATGCACGTTGGCTGTTGGGCACAGCTGACCTTTGCTATGGGGATTTGATTCCTGGCTAGTGAGAACTGCGTAGGCAATTTTGGGTGCTAGGGTGCATTTTGTTTTGTTTTTCAGGGCAGATTGTTCTGGTCTTTTTCTCAGGCTGCCTGACATTTCTCAGCTGGAACAGTAAAAGCATAATACTTCTGCATCTTAATCTCTGGTGTGCTTCAACGTTGCTAAGAAAGAAAAAGGGCTGTGCCTTCTGAGGTGGAGCAGAATTTACAATGAGATATACTTACCTATATTTTTTCCTCTTAAATTTCAAAGAAATTGTCTACAATTCTTCATTAAAAAAAATGCTGACAGTTGCTGTCCCCAGACTCCCACTGGAGCCTGGAGAAAGTGTGATTGCTTCATTTCTAGATGATTCCCACTGATTATTTCTAGGATTGTGGTGGGGATCGCCTTGAAGCTCCTTCTCAGATCCTCTCCCTGCTTGTTAGCAGATTCCAGCCAGCTGTAGACAAAATACTTTTCTCTGCAAACTCGGTTGTGGGATGGAAACAACGCCAGGCATGTGCAGCGTGGTGGAGGAGTGCCCCGCAGGCACGCACTCCTGCACAGTCAGGTATGTGCTCCTGGGAGCAGTCCCCAGCCTTTCCCTGCCACCCCCAAAGCTGCTGAACAACAGGTGAGAGTTTTATGGCTAAGGACAAAAGCAAGTTCATTTGGACATGCCCAAGCTGCAGAGAAAAGAAGTAAAAAACGACCACATGTCTTAAAATCAGAGAGTTTCCACATTGCTCAGAGCCAGCTGCCTGCAAGGCACTGGGGCCGTGGAAATGCCCTTCTTCTGTGCCTTGTGTTCCCAAGGAAATGCCTTGGTCAGGCAGTATCATGTCCTCTGAAAAGCAGCAGGAGCTTGCAGGTATTCCAGCTGTTGGATTTGGCAGCAGGTCAGTCCAGATGCTGTCTCTAGCTTCCTCACTACAGCAGAGCTTTTGGCTGTAAGACTGCTCTCCTGCTGTGTGGGGGTGGCTGGAAATTAAAATTCCTTGCTGTGCCTTCCTAAAAGGCATCTTGCAGCCCTTTCTGTCACATTTGACACCAAAATACGGGTATTTTTGCAAGGTTTGGGTTAAAACACCCAATTTCCCCGTCTCATACAGCCCCCTTGCCATGCAATGTGTGGGTGGGTTGCTGCTGGCTTCCACTGGCTCCTGGCAGATGCTGGCTAGGATAGAGTAAACATGGGCATTAGTGCTGGCACCTTCACCAGTTATCATCTCCTTAACCCCATTTCCACTGAGGGGACTGTTTGGAGTCTGACCTGTTACCTCTCAGCTGTGTCCTGTCAAAGAACAGATCATGCACCCATCAAAGACCAGTTGGATTTCCTGTTCCTGCCTCTTCTATTTGAAGCTGCTCCAGAATTTGGCTGCTCTGATTAAAAATGCAGCTTCTAGCCTAAATTTAGAGATGGCTAGAAATATTTATATGTGCTGCCCTTTAGCCTAAATCAATTCTACCTTCATAATATTTACTTCCCTTATGTATTTATAGGTGACAGGCATATTCCCCATCTTGATTTTATTAGGTTAAACAAGCCAACCTCTTTAGTCTTTCTCATAAAATAAGCTTTCTTTCCTTCCCCTTAGCTTTGCAGCTGTCTTCTGCACCTCCTCCAGCTTATTTTTCTTACGTTTGCATGACCACAGCATTAAAAACATTCCAGATGAAATTTTACCAGAACCTTTTACAAAAGCATCAAAACTTCCTTTTCTCTTCTATAAATAACCTTGTTTGATATATCCTACGATTGTTTGCTTTTCCATGTCTGCTTTGCTTTGGTTTGGACATCTTCCTATCAGCTGAAATATCCAAGTCTGTAGTTTTTGCTGTTTCCAGTTGTTGAGTCCCAGACGAGGACAAAAGGTGAGGTGGATGATTTGGGGTGGTGGCTGTTGCCAAACATGGCTCTCCACTCATCCCACCAGCCAGGGTGTTATGCTACTCCCACAAGAATACAATAGCCACAAGGAATTGAGCCCTGGCACAGCCTGATATCCTAAATGCATATACCTACAATACATAGAGACACTATTAAATAACTTTTGTTTAAAGATGGCTCTATAAAGCATGCTGGAAGGAGAGAAACTCCTGGTGTGCACTGTCCCAGGGCACATCCCTGCCAGAGCAGGAGATTTGCTGTGTCTTCCTTGAAGGTCGTGTAAAGCTGCTGACCTGCCTTCAGTCCTGGTGTGGGATGGGTCCCACAGAGCAGATCTGCATGGGTTTGTAGCCAATGCTGAGCAGCTCAGGTGAGCACACACAAAGCTGTGTCTTTGCCTCTGATTATTGTTAGGTTTGAAGTGCACAGTTTCACCAGGGCTTTGTTGGGAAGACAGGTAAAACACGCAGCAGAGGCCCTGAGAAGCTGTGTCTGTAAGCAACATAGCTGGTGGGAAAGGGATTAGAACAACAGAATTCACTCAGATAAATTACACAGTGCAGCTATGGAGCAGGTTTTGAGGTTATCAGAGACTGGATATCCATTTGGGAAAAAGGGACTCTTGCTTTCATAGAATCACTGAGTTGTTTAGGTTGGAAAATACCTTTTAGATTATCCAGACCAGCCATTAACCCAGCACTGCCAAGTCCACCACTAAACTTTCCAAGCAGGAGGCTGAGTTTCCAATGGTTGTTCTATTTGCCATCTGCTGAAGTGGCTTTTATTGAACAGCTTTGCTCTCATCAGATGTCAGGGACCTTGATTTATAAAGAGGATCCACAGAGATTGGGTTGCAGGAATCCTGACATGGGTATCTACTGTCAGGGCTGTGCTGCTCACCTCAATCCTGCTCCAGCCCCACAGCCAAGGGCTGGATGTTGGCAGCCAGCCTGCAGTGCCAGGACACACTTGCTTTCAGGGAAGAAAACCACAAAATACTGATTTTTTTTTTTTTTCCTCTTGCAATGATCTTTATTTCAAAGCATTTTAACTGAATGTGAAATTTATTAAAATGGCATTTCTCAAAGGAAGAAGAGAAGCAAAGAGCACTCCCGAGGGGCTGTGTCATCAAGCTGGGTATCTTAAAAGGCTCTCTGTGTCAAGGCATTTGAGCTTCACCTCCTCCCTGGGGTTCCTGGTTTTCTTGCACTAACTGGGAGGTGCAGCAACAGCCGCTATTTACAGGCGGGCACACGGGGATAAATGGCAGTGCCTGGAGCAGGTCCAGGCAAAGGAAGACTCGGGCAGAGCTATGCTTGGTTGCAGTCTGAGCGATGAGTTGATAAGATTTCTGCAGGGAGGCAAGGGGGACGCTTATCTTTTTCCTGCAGTGAGACCGAGTCAGAGAATTTGGCATTTTCAGTGCACGCTTAGTAACAAGCTCTGAATTTGGAGGAGT